AATGCATTCTTCCCAAGGGCGGCGGCCGATGCCAGAGGTGGTGCTTTCTCGTATGACGTATGCCATCTCGCGAGCCCAGTCTGACCATATTGCCAGGTGTCAGCGCTTGAATAAGGAGTGTCGCCCGTCGGCCTTTCATCGACGACCAAATGTGCGCAAGTCGTCCAAGTCCGGACGGCTGGAGAGGAAGCTCGATGATTTGGTGACGTTGCTGCGGGCGCAGTCTTCGGCTGGTCTGCCGGGGGATTATGTCGAGTTGGTTGAGGACTTGCGCCGCGAGCCTGAAGCCCAACAGGCCCTTCCCCAGATTCGGGTTGAGCGGACGGTCTCGTCGGTGGAGAGAGGCATTGACTGTGGTTTCTTGGCTGCGTCTGCTCCTAGACCAGCTCCAGATTTTCGGAGTGAGGTGCATGCTCGCGGACAGACGTCGCCCGAGCCGACCCCGTCGCAGGCCGAGGAGTGTCTGAGTGTGTTTGTCACCCACAAACTGCCCTACTTGCCCTTGGTGTATCTTCCGCCGGGGACGACGGCACAGCGTCTCCGCAGGGAACGACCGTTCCTCTGGCTGTGTATTATGGCGGTCGCGTCCAAGAGCCCGAGTCAGCGCCATGCTCTGTGCGATAAAATCCGGGACACGGTTGCCCAACGCATGGTGCATGACTATGCCGGTCGCGATGTCGATTTCCTACTTGGTCTCCTGGTATTCATGGCATGGTGTGTATCTCTCTCTCGCCTTGGATTCCATGTCTGACTCGGCCAGGTCCAACCAGCAAATCTTCAAGAAGCTCAACTTGACCGTGTACAACCAGTTCGCCAAGTCCGTGGTCTTTGACCTCATGCTCAACAAGCCACCCGAGGGCGATGGGGCATCGCTGATGTGTCTGCTGCAAACGCAGCCGGACGAAAATCCCTCGCCACCACCAGTCCGGACAATGGAAGAGCGTCGTGCCGTTCTCGGCTGCTTCCTCTTGACCTCCATGTACCCATCCCTCTCCCACTGTACAGATCAACCCCTAACGCGCATCAGCATCTCCCTCTTCCTGCAAAAATGCGACACCCTCCGCTGGACCCCGCACATGGACGACTGTCTCCAACACCTCAGCGAGCACCCGGAATGTCTCAACGACGAGGTCCTCGCTCAGCAAGTGCGCTTTCAACTCGTCAACGAGAAAATCAACACCGGCGACTGGCACACCGGTCTGACAAGCACCCACGAGCCCCTGAAAGCGCCCATGACATTGTACCTCCACGCCATCAACTCGCAATTCAAACGCGCCCAGAGCAAACTCGCCCCTCATTCCCAACGATACCGTACGCCCCCCCCCCCCCCCCCCCCCTCCCTCCTCCTAACCCTAACTAACCCCACCCCAGGAATCCTCCACCTCCACCACAACAACACAATACTAACCCTCAATGAAACCTCTCTCCTCAAACCCCCCACCCCGACCCCCCACGCCCTCAACTTCCAACAACTCGAAAGCCTGCACACCTGCCTCGAGGCGGTCAACTCCTGGATGGGCATCTTCCTCGCCATCCCGCCCGCCGAATACGCCAGTTTCCCATTCCCCGTGTTTGCGCAACTAGCCCGCAACCTGGCCGCCTTGTACAAGCTCTCCACGCTAGAAGACCCGGCCTGGGATAGGGGTCATGTCCGACGAATAATGGATATCATGACGGTCATGGACCGGTTGATTGGGAATTTGGGCCAGGCGGCGGCGTTGGCCAAGTTGGAGAGTGGCGAGGAGGGAGAGGATGTGTTTTTTTATTCGATTGGGAAGTATGAGTCGGTTAGGATGAGTTGGGGGTTGAGGTTTGATGGTGGTGGTAGTACTGGTGGTGGTGGGAGGGATGGAGCGGGGATGGGGATGGAGCAGGCGGTGCAGCAGCACCAGCACCAGGATATGCCGGGACATGATCTAGGTATGGCGATGGGGTTTGATGATTGTTTGTCCGAGTTTTTGAATTCAATGATGCAGTGAGTGTTGTTTAGTATCTTGGGATTGATTTATTGGTTTGCGTTAGTAAGTAATTGTCTACTACTCTACTACTCTAGTCTATTCTGCTCTGCTAGTACTTCTGAATCTTCAATTTATTTATTATAACCCCGCATCAACATGAATATAAATAATAGTACTAGTACCACCGGCCTAAATCCCTAGTTCATAATACTACTATAATATAACTACCTAGAATAAAAACAGCTATATAGCAGTAAACCATATATCAGGGACATTAACCGAGTAATTCCCCAATCCCGTTGTCGGGGTAGACTATCCTGGGCCAACCGAATATGGGAGTGATGTCTATCACCACCTGCTGGTCGGCGGGCATCATCCACATGAATCGAATAAAGTAATCAATAATCACGACCAGTACGGAGGCGGCCCCAGTGACTCCGCAGTGGGGCGGTGGGGAAAGGCAGACAGGAAAGCAAATTGTTGGGTATAAGCCATAGTAAGAGGATCCCCACATCCAACAGTTGTCCCTGTGGCCAAGTGGTTAAGGCATAGTGCTTATGGTTCTTATCATACAGGAATCACTGAGATCGGCGGTTCGACCCCGCCCAGGGACATTTGTTTTTTATTTTTTATTTGGGAAAATTTTCAAGATTAAAATGAACTTTTATTGCCCGGAAGAATAAAATGGTTAGGAGCTTCGAGATTCAATATTGGAAAGAGGGGATAACGAGCTAGACAAGTGAGTGGGCAGTTGGAAGTGATTCTGATGCCTCGGTGTATGTCTACGCCCGTATAAAGGTGCTTGAACCTGCGAGCTTTCACCTCCGTACGGATTTGAAAAGTCTACCTCGGCCCGAGAAGCACCGGTCTCTTACTTACATGTGTCCATTGCTCGGAAAGATCCGGTCGGAGAGAATTTGATCTCATCCCAGGAGTGATGATGGTAGGTAGCTTCTTGTCAGATTCGGTCGCATCATGGACCCTGTTGACCCTGTAGAATAATGCACCATTTTGACCAATCTATGTAGATTACTTTTCTATTCTCTTCCGTCTTTTTCTATTCTATTTTCATCTATTTTTATTTCCATCTTTTCCCCCCTTCCCTTCTGGGGGTACCAGTGCAAGTGAGATCTGTCGGATCCGAAAGATACGAACCATCTCCGACCAGATAATAAACAGTGGGGCCCAATTCGGATAAACCCCATAGGAACTACTATTTCTGTATGGGATGAACGAATCAACCCCTGATGTCGCACTTAGCAGGGGTTGCTGTTGTCATCACTTGTTTTTTTTTTTTTTTTTTTCTCGTCAGGAGGCCCAGATTCCGCGGAGTTCCTTCCGATCAATCACCACGGACATTTGTCCGACTGCCGCCGACATTGAAGACGACTCTCACACTCATCCATCCATCCATCCATCCTCTGCCCGACTACGCCATAAACACCGACTTAGATTATAAATTGAAAAAATAAATAAACAAAGTATTTATTCACCAACATAGCTTCAAGTTCTATTACCTAACTAACAAACACCAATCCCAAAAAAAAAAAAAAAAAAAAAATCTATACCCAAACCCATCACCCCCATCTATCCCCTTCCCCAGCCTCGTTTCGTTCGCTTCAAGCCGATTTAATCCTCTCCGCAGTAGACAAACCCTCCTTGGTCTGTTGTAATTGTTCCAGGGCCTTCAAAACCCGAAGATGTTCTTTCTTGAGGGCCTCGAATCCATCATCGAGTTGTTTGTGCCATGGGTATAGGACGAAGACTTGGAAGGCGAGCGCCGAGGAGGCCACGAAAAAGTTGGTTAATGAGATTCCGCGCGTGACGATCATGGTGCTGTGGTTGCGGACTGTCAGGAATTATAATAGGAATAGGTTTTGGTTGATGAGGGAACGTACGAGATTGATATAGCCGGAGCCTAGGAGGAGGATAAAGGGGTGGTTGATGGGGGTAGGTGTCTGTGACGATGGGAATTGGATTAGGGTATGTGAATGTGAATGTGAATGTGAAAGTGTAGAAGTATAAGTAAGCCGACCCGGGACCCCCCCCCCCCCTTTCATGTGGGAGACGCTACAAGCCACCCACTTTTCACACCAATCCCGTAAAGGCTTGGTTGCTACGGAGTACTCGGCACATCCTGGCCGCTTGGAATCTTTGCCTAAGGTTTTGCGGGTCTCTAAGGCTACCCCCGATCACCTCGTTACCTCCATTTAGGTAATTGGGTATAGCAATCATGAAGACCTCCTGTAGAGAAAAACTTCAATATATTATCCAGTACTCTAACATCGCCATTCCAATAATTTTTTTTAAATATATATATATATATGTTTGATGGATCCTTACTGATATTAACTATAGCTTCCTCGATATAATTTGTAAGAAGATTGATACATACGGAGTTCTCTCGGCAGGCTCCTAATCAAAAAGGTGGAGTATGGATTGGTATGGAGTAGCCTGGGCGGTATAGCTGTAGCCTCCCATTCAAAGGCCCATCGACTATGCGCAACATGATCGCTTGCTTCTGGAGTGACAACCTGCGGAATCTGGCAGTCAGATATTGATTGCAGGGTGGTGGTCATCGAAACAATGGGGTGATAACTATTGCACTAGGGATTGAATGAGCAGGAATAGGTGGGATTGTAGTGAGATGTTTGATTGAAAATATACATATTACCATAGTACGAACTAGACTAAATCAGTGGTATCCGCCGGGGGTGTGGGTGTGATCTAGATAATTTACTTTCTAGTACTGCTAGGGATGTTAGTACAGTGCATGATGTTCTCAGATATATAACCGCTGCTGGACAGCGTACAAAACCCTGTGAATTTGTACCACCAGGAAAAAAAAAAAAAACATTCCCACCACTCCCCTCTCAAGAAGGAGAGAAAAAAAAGCCAAAATTTCAAACCTACCAAAGAAATAAAACCCCAGGTAATAACCAACCTGCACAATAACCAAGACCTTCAGCCTAGAAGTGCACAATGAGATACTCCATAATAGAGGATTATATATCCTCTGAGACTCGAATATTTCAATCAACAGCCCGGTTAGCTCAATCGGTAGAGCGTGTGGCTTTTATTCATTGCACACCTCAAGGTTGCGAGTTCGAGCCTCGCATCGGGCGTTGTTTTTTTAAAATGTTTTTTGTGGTTTATCACTGGATAAGTATTTCTAACTTGTGTTATTTATTGTATGTATCCGACCACCCTTTTACCTCCTTTTTATTTCATTGTATCGTCTTCCCACCCAAATTCTATCTTCGGGGATTCATTCATCTAACCGCGCTGAGCAACACTAGGTACTAGGTTAGGTTAGGTCCCGACTGCCCCGATTCCGACTTCTGATTGCTGCAAAAAATTGAATCTCACTCATATATAGGTATCTGGTATAAACCTGTGTCTCTGACCCTGTGCTACATGATGCGGATTACATATGTATCCACCCCATACCTCATGATTGAATATCAAGAAACTGCCCAGGGCCATACCACACCGTCATCTCCACGGACTCCAGAAACACAACCATTTTCTCCCCCGTCCGGATCCAGGTTCGGGTTCCCGTTTCCGTAATGGGCGAAGGAAATGATGTCTCTTTTTTCTCCTACCAGAGACCACGAACCCTTCGAACAGGAGACAAGTGACAGTGTCCCAAACCTGGGTGACCTGTAGATTGGTGTAGTTTCGGCCCCCTGCTCCATACCTGGCCAGATGGAATAAAATAATTAAATATGTTGGATCTGTCTGGACCGGTCTTTTGTTGGTGTTGCCTGTCCAAGTGCTGGAATTTATAATAAAAAGCTCAGATGAAATGTCCTAGATCCTGCAATCTTGTTAGACAGTGATTTGATTAAAGCTATGATATATACAGCTAGTCATGTAATCCAAGCAGATTCAGAAGTGGTGGGGCCTCCATGAATCAGGGAGACTGGATCCACTGCTGGTCCTATGGGTTAATCATAGTCTTTGTTCCATGTTTGGCTGAGTATAAGTGCTAGCTAACCAGAGTGAATCCATTACTTGCAAGTTAATGGGATTTGGAATCGGGGGTACACTGGAGGCTCTGGATGCTGTTATCAATCATTTCAAACCGCATAATTGGAAGAGACTCGTACCGAAATACCAGCCGGACCAGTGTAAACCTAGTTCTTTAGGCAGCCGGGGTATGCAGGAGTTACTTAACTAGTACTAGTTCACTTCAATCTTCTTTGTATAGCTCTCAGTCTCCTGGCTTTTGGTAGGTTCTTTGACCGGACCATTCCCCACTCCTCTTGGATTCCTTTGTCCATATTTGTCAAGGGTTGTAGATCATGATTCTAATTGAGACTATCTAGGCTACAGCACAGCGCTCAATATCCTTTCCCCTTTCCCGTGACTTACAGTATGCCTATCAGCCAGGCACTCCGGCAAGCTCAAGCTCCTGTTAGAGAGAGACATTAACAAAGAAAACCAACAAGATAGCTACAAAACACTCGTAAGATCTGCCCCCCCCCGCCAAGAATTCTCTCAAAACACCCAAGTGGGCAGAAAATGCCGAAACAAACCACCACCACCACCACCACCACCTGCACCCGGAGACGAGGGCCGACCCATCGGATGATCTCTGCACTTGCGCACATCCGCAGCCGTGACGCCCTCAGGAAGGCTGGCGGGATCGAATTCCATCACACCCAGCGCTCCGCACTCGGCTTCAGCATCGAGGTCGGTATTCGGAGAACTGGCACCGAGAGCAGTGGTGGTGGTGGCGTAGATGCCGACCAGGAAATAGGGAAGAATTTTCATTTTAGAGGCACGGAAACGGACCCGGGCGAGGATATATTTAAGTGGTGTTTGTTGGCTGGGGGAGGCTTAGAGGAAGTGGTAGATAGTGGGTGGGTGTTAATCTTGTGGGAGGTGAAAGTGGGATCTGACTGCTAGGAAGAAGCAAGGTGATTCTTAGCAGTAGATAGTCTGGTTCTGGGCGAGAGGATGCTTCTTATAAGTTGATGTCAAGAACAGACGACGTGGCTGGATTGGCCCTCTTGTGTGCTGCCTATCGTCTGTACTACCTCCTGACTCGTACTTACAGTCTTTGGCCTGCATCTTACAAAGTTTCCGACTAGCAAACAGTTTGCGATTTGCGCTAATGAGCGCCACTGGGCTGTACTGAAATTATTGGTGTTTCTGGATTCTTGAGTCTATTGGCTATGTACCTCATGTTTGATGAATTATAGCATGCTATACACAGGATTATTTACCCGTCTCAGTCTGGTTGGGAATCAGACGGTTCTTGTGGCATACCAGTGACTAAAACCAACCCTTGATAAGTTCCGCTTAGTCCCTTGGGGAGGAGGGATCCAACAGCCTGTTAATACCTGCAGCCCGGTTGCCAATTAAAAGAAAGCCTTCCAGAGTGGCAGCTAGCAATTCAAATTACTGCATTCCGTGGAAATTCTCCCGGTCCCTGTATCCCTGCATGTCCGAATCCGAATCCCGCTGTAGGGTTAACCAAGAGCTTTCCAACATGGCTAGATAATGGTCAGAATGAGAACGATTCGGAAGACCTCTTTGGACAAGATTGATTGCTTGTATGTACTTGTGACCCCCCTTAACCCCCCATAAGAGATCCAGTATAAAAAGGGGATCATCTTCCTATCTCCCTGGGCAATCCTCGACCCAAGTTTTTCTGATTTCCCGTTCTCAAGCGCTGCGTGTTCTTATCTCTCCATCTCTCCCAGAAGAAACCCACCATGAGGTTTCCACTCGCCCTCTTCAGCATGCTGGCCCTTACATCCGCCCTAGCCCTCTCCCCCACCGCCAAGGGCGACCCCGTCGTCGAATGCGGCGACCTGGACGTCATGGTCGTCCCCGCAGCGGATCTCCCAGAAGGTGTCTCCCCCAGCGACGTCCGCAAGTGCAAAGACCACCCGCTCGGCAACAACCGGCACGTCAAGGGTGCATCGCTGGCGCCGTTGGACGCCGTGGACGTCTTGTTCCTGACCAACAATACAACTGCCAGCGCGGAGATCCACGCCCTCCAGGACCGAGCATGTTACAAGGATGCGCCGTATGGCTGCTCTGGTGGGTATTGCTGGAAGGTCTGCGGGAACAAAGGCGAGTGGTGCTGGACGGCCAAGAAGGGTGGGGTGGGGGCTTGGTACACTTGCAGTAGTTATAAGGATTGTGGAACGAGTACGTATGCCTGTGGTAAAGGGTGTCCGAGTTGTGGGTGTAGTTGTTAAGGGCTGGGGTGGGTTGGATTGGATCTTACTGGTACGGGATACAGAAGGTATTAAACAAATACGATGAAGTGCTCAACTTCCAGTCAGCTGCATTCAATAGGTGGCTTAAGTACGGCTGAGCGGACAATACCCTGTGGTCGTATGTAATTGCTTCTCGTCCAAACGGATTTATACAGACTCTCAGTAAAACGATACAATCTCTACAAATCGTGGAATCCATACGAAATACAGGAATCTCCCACATCTACCACCTACCCCATCGACAAATGCACAGTACCTTGGCAACTACAGTCAAGCCCAGCGGAAGTTTCCGGTCCCTCCTAGTGGCCGATTAGACGCACCAATCGCTTGTCACCTGCACAATATTCCGTATCATTAATCCCTACCTACAGGAAACCGAGGATCTATGAAATCCCGAATTCAATCCGTCAGATTCACTAATTGCTTGATTTTCGACTATATCTTGAGGCGGGATGAGACCTCGGGCTTTGTCTTCAGCTCACGAGAACACATGTGTGCCACTGTAGAAACATGCTGGGAAAAGAACCGAATATCCAGAAGCGAATGAAAGATTCCTTTACACCTTTGGGAACACTTTAAGAAAGTCAAGTGTCTTCCTGGAGAGTGATTCAAGCCATCAAGCTTGATTTATTTCCTGATATTTGTACGTCACCTGCAACTCCTTTCTCGCGCCTCAAGTACCTCCGAGAGTGGGGATATCATTTAGAAATCTGTATGAAAGGGACCCAAGATCTTCATCTCACCGTGGCTGCTCGACTGGGAGGTCTTTCGATCGAATCGATGAGAACTTCTATATATGAGATGACGCATAACCCCGGATTTATACGGAAGACTAAAATATTGGACAGACAGAAGTGAAAGACTGGGATTTTAATAATAGTATGCTGATGGAATGAAGTTAAAGTTACGGCCAGCATCTTGTTGGAATAAGTAGATGCTATCGATGAGAGTCAGTCAGTCTGCTAACAACTGATTGGATAGATATCGTGGAGTGGGATTTGCTCCCCGATTTCCTAATTTATTGGATGCAAGGCTGTTTTTTAAGCGATTACCCGCGACTAGTTTACGTACCAGATATTGTCTTTTCAAATATGAATATGAGAATCTTTGCCAAGGTTCAACGACTCGATAAGGAAAGAATGAGGATGGCACTCATTTCCAGAGGAAATTGGAGGCCTGTTAATGGACAATAAATAATACATGAACCAAGATTGCTTGTCTTAATACAACTTTCTGATCACCATCCCCATCGCCATCTAAAAAAAAGATTTGTTCAATCATCATAACCCCATTGGTATATATAGAGAGAGAGAGTATCATTTGCAGCCACCAACACGACTTAGATATAAATGCAAATAGTAATCAAGTGCTGACTAACAGACTAGCTATTGGTATTCCTAGTGATTCCTCGGATTTCGACTACGTACCTAATGCCTGATAAATTAGGTACGTAGAATCTTATAAATGTCGCTTGTTCAATGTCGAAAGAATTCTAATCTACCCGATTATTCCGTTTATCATTATCATTATCATCATCATCATCATCATCATCATCATTTTTTAATATTAAAAATAATAATAGGCCCAGCAGGTTGATTAGAGAACAACCACTTCAATCAGAACCAGTAATGAGCCGTCTATACATCTTTATTCTTTTCAGGATTATATCTCACTTACCCACCTATTGGTAATTTGGTAGGTACTGTAGCTAACCCATATTCGCTCAAGCCAGGGGCTTAGTGATGCTACTTCAGTAAGTGGGCTACATGCATACCAATAATCGATAAATTAACAGTGGCATAAATTATTTAATATCTATATCTCCGAAATGGGACAGGGGTAAGGGAGGGGGACGTGTCAGAAGCCAAGAGTGTAAGTTTTATTGT